TCAACTGATCTTTCACAAGGGCACCAAGAATATACGTTGGGGAAAAGACTGCCTCTTCAATAAATGGTGCTGGGAAAACTGGACATCTGTATGTAGAAGAATGAAACTATACCTGTATCTCTCACCATATACCAAATGGATTAAAGACTTGAATATAAGACCAACTAGGAGCACATACAGTGTTTCCCTTGATATCCACATTTGCTTAGTTTTGAGTTTTGAATAGTGAATGAGTGTTTTTTAAAAAAACTATCTGTGGTTATGTACTGCATAACAATGTTTCATTCAACAGTGGACTGTATACATGTATACACCCATAAGATTATGGTGGCTATACCATATAGCCTAGGTGTGTAGTAGGCTATACCATCTAGGTTTGTTGTAAGTACGCTCCATGATATTCCCACAGTGATGAAATTGCCTGAGGATGCATTTCTTAGAGTGTTTTTCCATCATTAAGCAACATATGACTGTGTATTCATGTATTTGTTTCCTAAATTTGAGAGCAAGAGTTTATATAGAGTGGTACTTGTATTTGTTTTACTTCTGTTATCAAAATTGCCTATTCTGTACATGGTAAACATTATTTGCTATGATATTTAGTACCATAGAACTAAATCAGTGATATAACTCCTATCTAGCTCTCTTGTTTTATGACGAGAAAATGTTAAATAGAAATAATGTTTTAAAATTGAGGTCCAGAAATCACTCAGATGATGTCATTACTTTATTAGTAGATTGCCATTTTTTATAGTTTTAAAAAGATAATGTAGTAAAACCACCCAGCTAGTTTGATAATACCAATATTACTCTGCATTTTGTGGGTAGGCAACTTATTACCCTCTGTAATGTTATTTAAAGGATTAAACTTTCTCTAGTTCTCTTGACAACTAACATCTTTAGCACCTTTCTCTGCTCATTTATGTATTCTGATGTGTCTTCAAGGTCATAGAGCAAAATCTCTTCTCTAATAGCATTTTTCTAAATATGCATTAGGTGGAATTCTGTCTTCCTGCCTTGATAGTGATTGTTATCACCACCTCATATCACAAGTATTCTTAAAATGAAAGAGGGTAACTCCTTTTCATTGACAGAGTAGGAAGTGGTCATTATTGTTAAGTGTTTTAGAAAAGGTTTTAGACAACATGGTTCAGTTCCAAAATGAGGAATGTAAATTACTCAACAAGCCTAAAGTAAAGGTGTTCTCCTTTATATTTTGTTTCTGCCATGTGGAAGTGCATTTGACATTATGATATGTATTTCTCTTCTCTTGCTTCTGCTGTTTATACTTTTCTTTGTCGTCCCCTTCTCTTTCTCTTCCACTCCATTTTTAATAGGATCCCCAATTCACTCAGAACAGTCCGTTAAGCTGAAAGCTATTGTACGCAGACTACAGAGGTTAAACATTTGTGGACATTTTGTCTAAAATACTGGAATTGCTGTGAGGGATATTTGTCAGCTTTCAGGACAGCCTTTAATTATAATATTAACATGTTGCTTGGGTATGTCATAGTTATCAAGATGGGCAGGCATGTGGTTGAGTTTTGGGTTCATCCATGTATTGGTAATGTTGTTTAGCAGTGGTTTAGGAGTAAAGTATCTTATTTTGATATGTAAGACTAAATTTAAAAAAATATATATATAGATTTAAAAGGTTCCAGGCTCTTTTAGACACTTGTACTTTGACAGAAAAAATAGTACTTTATAGCTATTGTTCATGGTACATTTCCAAAATATTAGTCAAGGTTTTAGTCTGAGTATAGGCTTATTTGAAGATCTAATATATTGGAAAGTGCTTCTCTGACTGCTTGAGGAATTTTACTCAGTTCATGTTGGTATAATGATAGCTAATATTCCTCACATATATGTGTATATACACATATACATTTTTTTTTTTTTGTCTTTTTCCGTGTCCGGCAACGGATCGCAACCCTCAGTGTCGCCCCCGTACCGGACCGGGACCGGCAACGGGATCGCAGCCCTCGGTGTTGCTCCTGCGCCTCGCTCAGCCAGTGAGCGGGAACTGGTCTGTATGTGGGATCCGAACCCTCGGCGGGAGCGCGCCGCCACACTTCCCAAGCGGTGCACTACAGCAGTGCACCACCGGGCCGGCCCCACATATACATTTTTCATGTTAAATCTTACAAATAGCTTTTCCTTATTTTACTGTGCTTTTACTGTTCTGAATTCTTTTTTTTTTTTTTTAAGTGTTCATTTGACAGCTGCTTCATTTTGTGGACAATTAATTTAGTCATTGTAGAAAACCTTTCTTAAGTATCTGTTACCTGCTTTTCTTTTATAGGCTATGCTTAAAAATGCTTAGAACAATATCAGATTTAACTTGGCTTTCTTTTTCAAGTTTTATGAAAAAAGTAAATAGAGATATTTTTGCTCAGGTTCTCACCATTAGATTGACATCAAGCTAATATTAGTAAATTCACTTTGCTAATGCAAAAATACTGAAAGTTCTTTATTTAGTGTGTAAGTGTCATACAAATTAGTCACTAATTTTCATTAGGTCAGATGTGTAGCCAGCCACTTGTTTTTGTAAATAATGTTCCTCCTGGGCCGGCCCGGTGGCGCACTGCTACAGTGCGCCGCTTGGGAGTGCGGTGGCGCACCCGCCGAGGGTTCGGATCCCACATACAGACCGGTTTCCGCTCACTGGCTGAGCGAGGTGCGGGCGCAGCACCGAGGTTTGCGATCCCGTTGCCGGTCCCGGTCCGGTATGGGCGTGACACTGAGGGTTGCGATCCGTTGCCGGACACGGAAAAAGACAAAAAGGAAAAAAAATAAATAAATAAAATAAAAATAATGTTCCTCCAACTCATTTACTTACATGTTTTCTATGGTTGGTTTTTTTAAAAGAAAGACATTCCATTGAGAGGCTTCTAGGGAACACTCTGAATGTGCTTATTTATATATTTATTACTATTTTTCTGAATGTGTTTATTCATATATTTATTACTATTTTTCTAACAGATTATTTTTTGAAACAGTTGATTACACATATGTATAGAGTACAAAGTTGACTATCAGTACTTGTGTACAACATGTGATTATCAAATCGGGATAATTAACAAATTCATCATTAGAATATGTAATCATTCTTTGTGTCCATTAACCAACTTCTAGGTAACCCCCTCCCTTCCCCCTTCCCACTTCTAATAACCACAGTTCTGTTCTCTCCTTCTGTAGTTTCAATGTATTATTGTTTCCCTCCTTCTTTCCTTCTTTAGTTTTTAGCTCCCACTTAGAAGTGAGGACATGCAGTATTTCTCTTTCTGTGCCTGGCTGATTTCATTTAACATAATTTTCTCCAAGCTCGTCCATGTTGCTGTAAATGGTAGAATTTTATTCTTTTTTTAAGGCTGAGTAGTATTCTATTGTGTATATATATATCACATTTTCCTAATCTAGTCATTCATTGATGAATATTTAGGTTGGTTCCATATTTTGGCCATTGTAAACAGAGCTGTAATAAATATGGGAGTGTAGGTATCCTTTTGACATGATTTCCATTCCTTTTGGGTATATACCCAGTAGTGGGATTACTGGATCATATGGTAGTTCTACTTGTAGCAGTCTGAGAAATCTCCATTCTGTTTTCCATAATGGCTGTACTAATTTAAAGCCCCAACAACAGTGTGTAAGGGTTCCCCTTTCTCCACATCCTTGCCAGCATTTGTTATTCTCTTTTTGATAATAGCCTGTCTAATTGATGTGAGATGATATCTCAATGTGGTATTGATTTGCATTTCTCTATTGTTGCTTTGACAGTACAAGGGCAGAGTTTAGTAGATGAAGCAGACAGCAGAGATCTTATGTTCCACAGAGCTATATGACCTCTTTTAGAAAAAGTTTGCCAACCATTGCAGATAAGATGAGTTGTTTCTGTTGTTCACTTGTGTGTGTGTGTGTTTGTGTGTTTGTGTGTGTGTGTGTGTGTGTGTTCTTCATTCCACTTCTTTTCAGGGTCCTATATCCCTGACTATTTAAGTAACTTCCTACCCAAATTTCCTACAGCTACTTCCCTCTTTAATATGCATCTACTCCACATTTTACTCAGAATACCATCCTTCCAAAATTGAAATACTGACTTCAGTATTTCTTAAATAAAATTGAAACACCTCTTGCTCTGGCTTTTCCTGACTCTTGTTGAGCTTCTGACATAATGAAGGACTTACCTACCATTTCCATCTTATATCTATACATTTATGTCTAAAATGGAGTATCTATTATATCTTAATTGTAGTGTCTTTCTCTTCTTTCTTTGTAAGTATATCCAACTTCAAAACTGAATTCCAGAATCCAGGCCTTTTCTAATAAAGTTTTTTGGGCCATTCCTTACCCTCTACCTTCACTATCTCCTGATGAAAAGAGGTGAAAACCTGCTCTCAGAAGCAGAGTTCATATTTTCCTTCCTTTTTGTTACCACTGTGCCTTGTACACAAGACAGTAATTTCACTTATATATTATATTTTAATAAAATTTGTATATGCCATTTCTTTCTGTTAGACTGAGCACAAAGATTATTTCTTATTTACCTCTTGGATCCTACTTCTTAGCATGGTGTCTAATAATATTTGTTGAGTTAATGAATTAGTAATCTTGCCTACATTATATAATGTAGTGCTAAATTTTTACTATCCTATGCTTATTAGGACTGAAAATCTTTTGAAAAATAAACCTGACCTATATTTTGTCTTATAGCCCTGTAGGTCAACAGAATGAAACTGCCTAGTTCCTGTTTTCTGACTTGGCACTCTATGCAGCAGGGGACAGAATTCCCTATTCTAGATTTTGTTAAACCCCTGGCATGGAGTTTTGATCAACATTAATTGTGAAACTTACCTCTATAATAAATTTTTTTATTTATAATATGCTCTTAGCTAAACTCAGTAATGAGGCAACCATTTCTATTCACATTTGGTGATGTACGATATTCTTAGGTAAATCCGAATAGTTTCAGCCATTTTTGTATCTTTTCTTATTTTTAGGTACAAGACATCTGCTTCAGCCATGACTGTCGCTGGGTTGTGGTCAGTACTCTCCGGGGTACTTCCCACGTTTTTCCCATCAACCCATACGGTGGTCAGCCTTGTGTTCGTACACATATGTCACCACGAGTAGTGAATCGCATGAGCCGTTTCCAGAAAAGTGCCGGACTGGAAGAGATTGAACAAGAACTGACATCTAAGCAAGGAGGTCGCTGTAGCCCTGTTCCAGGTCTATCAAGCAGCCCTTCTGGTTCACCCCTACATGGTAAACCTGATTTTCTTCCTGTTAATGTTCCCTTCAATCTTCCTTCCCTTTGTCCTTAATTTTACAGATCTGAGATACAATAGAAATTTTTATTCTGTTCATGTAAAAACAAGATCTTTGGCTCGTCTGAGACATTTTCATTTAATAAATCATTTCATAAATTGGAGCCAATATAGTAATGGTGATCTTTACCATGCTGCATTAACTCCCTGTCTGTTTGAAGATTTAAGGGATATTTGGTATCATAATTATGGAATATTAAGTTTGAGACTATAGCTTTAGAGAACTGAATCTCATATCTACATATTTGTCCCAGAACATTCTATCTTTAATGGATCAGTACTAGCCCACTAGTTGATTAAGAAATATTCATTGTTAAGGAGGCATAGTCTTGAGTTATGTGTATTTTAGATAGAGCCGCATTTGTATTTTATTTAAAAATACATCTCTGAATGATTTTTACTAATATGGTACAAGAAAAACAAACAAAGGTGTATCTCAATAGTTTTTCTCAGAGTAGGTAATTGTATAGCCATCATCTCTATCAATAAATTGAACATTACCAGATTCCCCCTTTGTACCCCTTCTCCATTACATTAAACTATGATTCTGACTTACGGAAATCACTTCCTTTCTTTTTAAAAATAGTTCTACTCCTGAGGAAGCATCCTTAGACACTGTTGTCTCCATTTTATATAAATGGCGTTATAGAGTATGTATTTTTTTGTATATTGGCTTCCTTAACGTTGTATTTGTGAGATTCTTTGATGTTGCCGCAGTTAGGTTTCCTTTTTTTGTTTTCATCGCTCTGACTTATTCCATTGTACAAATGTGCTTCTGTTTATCCTTTCTACTATTGCTGATGTGCATTTGCATGGTTTATGGCTTAGGATTATTCGGCATAATGATGATATGAAAATTTTCTACTTGTTTTTTGGTGTAAATGTATACTCATTTTTTGAGTGGAAATTCTGGGTTATAATGTATGTGAATCTTAACCTAGATAGATAATTTGAGAGTGGTTGTACCATTTAATTACTACCAGAATGACAGAAAATGTTGACATTAGATGACTCTCTTTTTGGAGCATTGCAGATTCTACTTGACAGATGATCATTTTCAAGATTGGGTAATCTTATATAGAGATTATGGTTACCAGAGAAAATAATCATTAGTTTTCAAATCAATCTGAAATTTACATAACATAAATTAGCCATTTATTTATTATTATTTTTTAAAGAAAATATGATTTTATTAATATTATTTTTTACATTCTAGAGTGTTGTTGCGTAGCAGCTGGGAGGGAGAGGGAGAAGGGAAAGGGGAAGAAAATGGGATGGAAAAAGGAAGGAGGAGGAGGGGCGGGACTGAGGCCTTTGGCACCCCCCCCCCCATTCCCACAGGGAAGACTTGGGCACATCCTGTGGCAGCTTGGTGGTCGCTGCTTGGCTGGCTGTGCTGTTGGGGGTGTGTGGCTGAGGCCCGTGGCCCCCCCCCCCCATTCCCACAGGGAAGACTTGGGCACATCCTGTGGCAGCTTGGTGGTCGCTGCTTGGCTGGCTGTGCTGTTGGGGGTGTGTGGCTGAGGCCCGTGGCCCCCCCCCACCCAGCTCAGGAGAGCTTGAGGTGCATCCTGTGGTGGCTTGGTGGTCATCGCTGGGCTGGCTTCACGTGTCAGGGGGCCATGGCCGAGGCCCTCATCCCCCACCCTGGGATTGGTTGTGGGTGCAGGGGGCCATGGCTGATGCTCCTGGCACTCTCCCCTTTCTGGTTTGGTAGCCCAGGGGACTTCCAGTCCTTCTAGATGTTATAGGTGATCTCTGGTGAAATGAGACCTTTACTAGTTAATATGAAGCTTTGTCTCTGGTTGCAGGTACTTTAAGTTCTGTGTCGGATTATTTGCTGTTCCCACCATTTAAACTCTGCACTGGAACTAATTTGTTCTTTGCTTACTTCTAAAATGAGGGAACTTCTTGTGGGACCAGTACTTGAGCTGTGTGGTTGAGCTAAATTGCTGCTTTGCTGCTGATTGCCTAGGGAAGGCTTTTTGTGCAGCTCAGGTTCTAATGGTTGACATTATAGGTACTTCTGGCTCTTGAGATTTCTGGTGCACCTGGGTTGTGCAGAAACTCTGGTCTGGGCCTGAGTGTTTTCATCAAACTGCATCCCATGAAATTCTGTATTCCTGACCAGTTTCCTCTGAGTGGTCCTTCACTGATTGGGGTGCAGATCCGCTGTCCTTGCTGTGCCACAGTGTTCTCCTGGTGGGCCTGCCTCCCCTACTGTCCATACCACAAATCCTTCCCATGGGATGGGCCATGCCCCAGTCCCTTGCAATGACTCACTGGCCTCTAAGTGGCTCCTTTCTTTCAGTTGTTGTGACTCCTTGCTCCTATGTGGGCACACGAACCCTATTAGTGGTCTTGCTGGCCTGGGGTCCACCAAGGCCCTCTTCTCCCTGGCCACCTCCAAGCAACTTCATAGAAAGGGCACAGCTGTGGCTTTTGTCAGCTCCTGCTCGGTGTGCTCAGGAGCCCAAGCCTGGAAGCGGATGGAGCTTGAAATGGGCAGATCAGTTTTTTCTTTCTCTCATCATGGCTTTTTCTGCCTTCGTGCACTCCGTAGGTCTCTTCTTTTCTTCCCCTGGTCTCTAGTGGCCCCTTCTTGGCTGTTGTTGCTTTTTTATCGTTGTAAATTCGTTGATTTGTGGGAGAGAGTGACACTGGGGACTGTCTATTCTGCCATCTTGCCTGGAAGTCTCCAAAATTAACCATTTAAACGTGGCATTTTGTACATTCACAAAGTTGTGCAACTACCACTTCTACCTAGTTCCAAAACATTTTCCTCATTCCAAAAGGAAATTACATATTCCTCAAGCAGTTACTTACCTATTTTTCCTTCCCCCAAGCCACTAGCACCCCACTCTCTGTTTTATATCTCTATAGATTTACCTGTTCTGTATATTTCATATAAATACAGCTATACAATATGTGACCTTTTGTTTCTGGCTTCTCTCACTTACTATAATGTTTTCAAGGCTCATCCACATTAGAGTATGTATACTTCATTCCTTTTTACAGCTGAATTATATTCTGTTGTATGAATATAACACAATTTATCAATTCATCCATTGATGGGCATTTAGATTATTTCTACCTTTTAGCTCTTATGAACAGTGCTGTTATGAAAATGTGTGTATATGTATTTTTTTGAGTACTTTTTTGCAGTTCTTTTGGGTATATTCCTATCCTTAATTTTAGCTTCTATGCTGACCACATTACATATTGTTTTGTAATACCTGATTAATGCCAGATAAGATAGACTGAAAAAATATCGAGGTAAATGGTATCCTGGGGAGAACTACTGTAACTCAAAAAAGTGAGACTTCGTTTTTCTTCTGAGGTCATACCTTACGTTTTCACTCTATTTTTTTTTTTTAAGAACAGTTGTTATTTATGTATATTTAGCTTAACTAGTGACGCTTCGTCTTCAAGTTTGAAAACTTTTTAGAATCAGTCCTAAATGAAGATAGTCCTTTAAAAAAGTATTTAGAATTAATTTTCTTCCCCCCTCCCCCACCCCCAGCTGGCCTGCAAAGGCATCAAATCCTGGACTTTGGTGTTATCGGCACCATGCTCTAACCAACTGAGCTAACTGGCCAGCCCAAAAAGTATTTAGAATTAAAAAACAAAGTTTCGAAAGCTACCAGATAGTGATATTTTCAGCCATTTGCAAGAAATTTTACTTAAACCTATTGGTTACATTTTTTTGGTGTAAAATTTTTGTAATATATTTAGGTGTATGGTATAGATTCATTGAGAAATTTTCTCTTTGTGTTAAGCAATTTTCTTAAGTTTTACCAAAGACTTTTTGCAAGGAGATTCAGTGTGCACATAGACAGCTAGGTCGGCAAGAGAAACCACACATGTATTAGTAGATAAATTAAGAAGTATATATAATCCTTACTTTTCTTCCTCTTCAGAGAATATTCTTTTTTTTTTTTTTTTGCATCTTTATTAAGCAAACCACATAACAGGTTCTGTGCTAGGCTATATTCGTAAAGTGCACAAAAAATTGTCATCCCTGCCCTCATGTATCTTCTACTCCAAGGGAAATGACAGATATTAAAAGACTGTGAACAAATACCTTTCTATATATTTTTATTGAAGGTTTCAAAGTGCCAGTCAAAGAAGGATTTTGTCATCTGTAAAACGGCAATAATTGAAAAGTGATATTAGATTTCTGAATCAAATATATTTTCTCTCAGTTTTATTGCTTTCATAGCTCTTCTCATATATTTGCACAAATTATCTCTGAATTTCACCCCATTACTCTGAGAAGTTTTTCTCAGTTTTGAGGCATAGTTTGAGCGATGGACATTTTTCTTCATGTTCTTTTTGTACCTTACATGTCAAAACAAAATGGGCATTGTTTTTGGCTAGTTCTAAAAATGGTGTATTTACAGTTTGTGTGGGTAAACAATCTGATGCTGGTTAAAAACAATGTAAACCTTTGAACAGGGAGGGATTCTTCTTGAAAATGAATCATGTTTTGGCGTTATTACTGTTGTTTGTCTGTGCTCTTTTTAGCAAAGTAAAGGAAACTGTTAAATAACAGTTGATATAGAGGGTATTTCCTCTTTACTCTTTGGAGCTATTCCAGTTTAGGTTAGTATTATTTTATCTATTTGCCTTTTTTTTTTTTAAACTTGCCCGAGGATATTTATTTATTTTAAATATATTCTTTCTAACTATCTCTTTCATTTCCTATCTTGTTGCCTGGACCTTAGTCTAGATGAAGAGTTTTTAACTTGAGATCCATGAAGTGGAATAGGAAAGAAATTACATCTTTATATTTAGTATCCTCCAACCAAAAGTAAGCATTTCCTCTTATTATGAGTGTAGAAGGCATACAACAATAATATTACTGACGCTTGTGACATTACCAATAGAAAATGTAGATGTTTTCCTATCACATAATATATGAAGTATTGAGTATGA